TTGAATAAGATTCCATTGTTTTTCTTCAAATGGTACGCGTTGCTTTCCCAAGTTGATCACCATGTGTCAGGCGAGGGCGACCATAAACGGAACGAAACGAAGAGCTCCGAGCAATCTGGCAGGCTTGCATTGTCGGCGGAGTCAACAGATTACGCGTTGATGTCATACTCAAGCCTTCGGCCGGGTAGTTTGGAATATCCAGTGTTTTGGTGTCTTCACAGGTCTTCACGTTTGTTCAATTGGTGGTAGTGCACGCAATAGATCATGTCACAGTCCAGCAATACTGGATAAGGTGGATCAGTGGATGCAAACATGTGCCAAGCGTGCGATGGTGTGCATCTCGTTGTGCTGTGCATTTGTTTGTTGCATTGCTGTGCTGACCGCTGCATTCCTGAGCAGTGCAAGAGTCTGAAGGATTGCGTGGACGCTGCATACTTTGGTGGAGGAAACAATTTGATTGCACTGTGTACAAGGAGCGATCAGGCCAAGCTTGCGGTGAGGCTCTCTGTGGTGGAGGACATTTCCAAGTCAGAGTATGACAGCATGCATTTGTTTCACAGCACCGATTTAGCTGCATCTCTTTGCAGCCGTGCCGAGGAAAGTGCCGGTCACGCCCGCGTAGTCGTTGTCAGCCGCGCTGACGTACATCACCAGATTGGAGGCCGTGCCCAGCCGGTGCCGGCAGCCGAAGGAGTGGCGCCTCCCCGGCGTCAGGGTGTAGGTGCGCACGATGTTGGCGAAGGCGCTCAGGGCATGGCGTAGCCCTCCAGCTCGAAGCCGCCCGGCAGAGGCCCGGAGCTCTGGCTGTTGGAGCGCTGCCCAGCCTGGTCAGGGTCGGGGCCAGCAGCACCTCGCCCAGGGCGGCCAGCGTGACGTCGTCGGCCCCGCCGTCGAGGAACTCGTGCTTCAGCAGCAGCACCGAGGCCGTCGTGTCCGCCTTGCCGGCCTCCGGAGCGGAGTCCTGCAGGATCTGGAGGCCGGCCTACCGGACGGGGCCGGACCAGGACGTCTTCACCACCAACCAGATCACCTCGGCGCTGGTGGCGTGCGTATATATCGCTCGGCTGCCGACCAGGACACTGCAACGGCCGCAAGCATTGCCGGGCAGTGAGCGTCGACGGCTACACCCTGACCCTGGCAGTGAACCCCTGGAACATCGTGCGCATCTACAACCTGACTCCCGGCCGGGAGCTCCTCCTGCCGGTGTCGCCTCGCCACGGCCTCCAACTTCGTGGCGTCCGCGGCCGACAACGTCTATGACCCTCTGCGGCAGCTTCGTGGGGGACCAGGGCGCCTGGAGCACCGCCAAGATGTACTTCACCGTGCCCCCGAACGGGATTGCGAAGCTGCACTTCGGCGCGCGCTTCCAGGCACCGGCACCGTGCAGCGCGCCCGTGATGGCAGGCTGCGTCTGGGTGTCTTGAGCGCTTGCCGTTCGGTAGTTGGCCAGCAGTGCGTCCACCTATGCCGAGGTGTAGTAGGCAAGCAGCGCAGCTGCGATGGCGCTGGTCGTCTCTGCGTCCTGCGCCGCCCCCGTTCGGTAGTCGACCAGCAGCGCGTCCACTTGCGCCGAGGTGTAGTAGGTCAGCAGCGCCGTCGCGAGGGCCGCGTCCGCTGCTGCTATCGAGTACTTGGATGACCGGCTAGATGGCGCTGGTTGCGCTACTTATATATTGCTCCCTAACATGTTCTAACCCAAGTTATAAACTGGGTTAACTCTATCAAGTTCACCTGGCCTACTTGCTATATTGACGCTCTTGTGCTATGTAGATAGTATGTTGGTTATGTTGCTACGGCCTACTTCGGGAAGGTTTTTGTATCTAAGCCATGTTAAGTTGATGAAGTTACTAAACAAACACCTCTCACATTGACTAAGTAAATTATCAAGTACGATATTCAAGTTAGTAAGTTGATCGCGGCCTACTTACTAAGCACGCCGAGTACTAAGTACGCCGGGGTCGCTTACCGGGGCCTACTTACTAAGTACGCCGGGGTCTACTTACTAAGCGCGGCAGGGTCTAGTTGCTACGCGCGTTTTGGTCGGTGCGCAAGTGCAATATGGAAATGCTCAGATGCAGGAGGCAGAGATATGTTTTTGGTAGGTTTCGAAGTTGAAATTGAAAGGTTTGGCGTTCGTGTATGCTTTGTAATTTTGGCGCCTACAGTAGTTGAGCGGTGTTCTGGTTAACTTACATGCGGAATCATATGCATGCGTGTGCGACATTTAAGATGGGTCCCTTTTTTAAATGCATGTTAGCGTGGCCGAAGGGATCCTACATAATAAAGCGCCCCCAAAAGGGACAGCCACATGTGGAAGGTTTTGCCCGAACAAGTTGGAAAACGGAAAGCGGCAACAGCTTTTCCGGCTGTGTTGTTGGCGTTGCCTTGTATATACCTGGGCTGGTTGATGCGTCAAAAAAGCCCAGCTGTTGGGTGAAAAAAATGGTGCTGCTTTCAACATGTGCTCGCGTGTCTCGTTTCCAAACAAAATGCAAAACACCGATTGCTCAAATGGTATGAGTTTTACCGAACAAGAGTATAGCGATAGTTCATCAAGAGGGTTTACGTTTTGTTGCAGTTTTGGAGACGAACTTGGAAAACAGAGGAATTTGAGGCTTCATTCAGCGTCAAGCAAATACGCACCCATGGAATATGTTCTGAACAAACTTTGGAACAACCAATTTCAGTCAATGATTTTTGTTTATGACTGTGCCTTGTTGGTCGAAGCGTTCGCCAAGCCAATGTGTTTGAGATCGTGTTTGATTTCACCTCTCGCCGTGTTGTGACACTTTGAACATTGACTGCGCATGTGAAGCGAGCAAATCTTATAACCTCTTGAACATGTGAGTTTCATGCGCCATGCTTGTGAACTTGGTAGAGCCAATGGAACTTGCATGTCAACCATGATGGCGTTGTTTTGTTTTTTTCATTAGTTTTCCGTGGACAGGTTTCCAGCAGCGCGAGGGTTGCAGGAGGTGATGTTGGGGCCGGTTTGCCGATTGTACAGGAGTTGCTGGAGTGCCAGGAGCGCGAGCTGCGGAACAAAAGGGCATAAGCATGTGGCCCAGGTTTTTGTTTGCAACGCGCGGTTGATTCATAGCTGCCAAGGAGCCTCGGAGTGCACTTTTGGGCTCTCCGCTGTCATGGTGGGGGCGAGCTGTGGTGACGTTCATTTTTTAGCGTTTTTCGATTTGCATGTGCCGTATTTTCACAGATTTGTGCACAGATGCGTGAGTGTAAGAGCTGCCGCAGAGGCAGAGGCTGACGATGCATTTGGTAGGAGCTCCATTTATTTGGCTTGGCGCTGCGGCAAGCGCAGGCGCAGTTGCAAGCGCAACAAGGCGCATTTGGAAAGCCCTTTTTTGCCTCCCCTTTGAAACACGGAATACACTTGTTTTTGTTCTAGATTGGCAACAGTGAGCGCGTGTTCGGGAAACAGCACGAACGTTTTTTGGCTGGACAATGCTGGTGGTGCTGTCCCCAAGATTGCTGTTGTTGGAACTGGGCAGGTGTGTGCAGGTGTTCAGGCAACCTGGGTTTTTCAAGATCCTTCCCGGTTTCATTGTGCTGTCGTTCCACATGCCAGGGCCCGCGTCCCATCATTGAGTTTGTGCCAGGTCCTTCTTCCCAAGGCTCCCCCAAGTTTTGCAGGTGTCCTGAGCCGTGCCTCTTGTAACGGATCGACGAGTGCATCGGCGAGAGGTTGGACCTCGTTGTCGCTGCTTACACATCACGATATTTTTTTTAAACATTTTTTTGAGACCTGCCAGCTGCTGCTACGTCTTGGGGCTGATGTTGCTGGAGCGGCAGCTGGCAGGGGAGTGATCATTCTTTTTGAGAAGCGGGCGCTGAGCAAGCGCGGTGTGCTGAACGGGCAGGGTGCCGAACAAGCGCCAACAGAAGGAGTAAGAAATGTGGGGCAGCAACGCATCAAGCTGGGTGCTGTGGGGTTGGGGCAGGGAAGCATCAAGCGAGTTTGGGGCAGCGTCTCATCAAGCTGTGCAAGCCACACAGGTCCCAATCCGTCAGCTTTTTGCTCCATAGTGTTTTGCCCCAATCCGTCAACTTATGTCCGAGTCAGTCAGCTTTGTGTCCCGACAGGTCAGCTTGCTTCGCTGGCAGCGTCACAGAGACGCGTTGGGGGGAGCGTTTTGAGCGGCTTTGCTTGGGGTGAGGTAATCCGCTTTGGGAGGGCTGTGGGTTTTGGGCAGCGACGCTGCAGGGGTAGCGCCTCAGGGCCTCTTTGCCTGCAAAAAGTCGGGCTTTCAGGCACCTTGAAGTTCCAGCAGGTTCATATTCACGAGTCTTCATGGAGGAAGGAGGCTCATTGAATGGGTTTGGTGCAGGGCTTCACTAAGCAGGGTACGTTTGGGAAAGTTTTGGGAGCGCTTCGGGGGCGAGAATTAGTTGCGGGAGCGGGCATGCGTTTTGGGACTGCCGGGTTGACGTTTCGCATTTTTGGGCGGTGTCTCCGAACTTCTTGCGTGTCGTGCGTCCTTCCCGTTCTTGCTCGCATTTTCTTGCAATGCAGAACGAACTGTGCAATCCATTTGCCAGGCTATTCGTGCTTGTTGTGTGGCATATCTTCCTGCTGACTTCCTCTATAAAGCCAGGTAGTTGCTTTCATTTAACGTAAGATAAGACCTTCCTCATTGCGTCCACAGCTTTGTTTGTAAAGTTTTTTCTCGGCTGGGCTCCCCCGAAGCTGGCAAAAGTGCATCCAAAGACTGGTGGCCTTTTGGCGGGGGGTTTGCCTTGCTTGGGGACTGGTCCTGTTTCGATTTTATGGCTATGGGTTGCGGCCTGGTCCTGAAGTCTGAGAAACAGAATGCGGGTTGAATAATACAATGGAGTGATCAGCGTTTCTCCGCCGTTGGCTCAAGTTGAGAACAAGAGAACAGTTCAGATCTATGGAATGTTGAAGGCAGTTCCGAAGCATCAGCCATCCGCACCTCAGGTTTTGATATGCGCCAGAAAAACATTTGCAATGGCCCAGGATCATGGCTTGCAAACGCAGCGCCTCAGCTCGCTGCAGGCGCCTTGCGGTCGCTTTGCCTTTCCTCTTGGTCTTCGGCTTCCACGGCGTGACCTTCAACATCCCAAAGCGCATGCATGAAGTTGCCCAAGACAAGGGCATCAGTGACATTGAATACTTGCAAGGGGTCAGCGCGGCCGCAGAGGCTTACAAAAAGAGCGACCAGATCGCTGGACGAACTGGCTTCATCAAAGCACTGCAGAAGGCCTGAGCTCCTTGTTTTTGCTGAGTGCAAAGTAAGCTTGTGTTGTTTGGTGTGAGAATTGGTGACCTCCTCGCAAAACCCTGGTCAGGCTATGCAAAAATCGGGCTTGTACCTTGTCATTGGAGGCAAGTCCCTTGGCAAGACCAAGATTATGCAAAAGATGGATCGAGTTGTCGCCGCTGACTCCCCGTTGCTCTACGTCAACATGCGCCACCCACCCCAGCCCGAGTCAACGGATGCTTTGGAATGCCTTCAAGCCAAAGCCAAAAAAGTCTGGAGTGCAAAGACTGTGCCCCCTTGGGCGCGGAAAGTGGCTGACGTCATGATTGCCCTTGCTCGAGCAGTTGGCAAGGAGAGCTTGAAGAAGGGTGATGCGGAGGGTGGAGTGGAACTTGCTTTCTCCGAATTGCTGAATGTGCCCAAGCCGCAAGAGTTTCTCTGGGCTTTTGTTGATGCGGCAGCTGCAATGAAACAGACCCCGACAATGATCATCGACGAAGCCAACATTGCTTTTCCGAACGCGAATGGCAATGGAGACAGCAAATCCAAGAGGGAAGCAGCCTCACGGGCCCTTACCACCTTTGTGGCAATGACAAAGGAAAGCTGCCAGGCTTGCGTCATCTTGCCTGCCTCCGATTTCGCCTTCCCATGGGGCCTAGAAACACTTGGTTTCAATAAGTTCGATGCCCTTCAGACAATCGTGATTCCGGAGGTTGAAAGGGAGCCAATGTTGGCTTTGCTGACAGAGTGGGGTTTGCCCCGGGATGTGGCGGAGGAGCGTTCTTGGGGTTTTTGGTTAGCGTAGGCTTGCTTGCGTGTGCGCATCACAAGTTAGTTTTGACACGAACGGCAATACAAACACGCACGACTACCAAAAAACAACGGATGTTCGAGGTCGATGCGAGAGTTTGTTTCACTCGCGTTGCCAGGAGTTCTACATGATCTTCGGCGGCAACATACTTCTTTGCCAGCAGGCAATCGATAAGCTTCTTGAGCAGTTCGAGCTTGGTGCAGAAGACTCCTTCGACCCCTTCAGCGTCCGAGGTACAGACGGGCTGGCTGGTTTGGCCAAAGACCCGCTCACCCGTGAACACTTGGAGAACCTTGCGCGACAGGGGTGGTCCCCCATCGAGGAAAGCAGCGCAGACGGGGAGACGGAGAGCCAGAAGGGCGCCCGCATCATCGCCAAGAAGAACTTCGGCGGCGTCATCAACAGAGAGACGACCACCTTTTTGGACCAAGACTTGAAGGATGACATGTTCAGCAACAGAAGCACGACGCAGGTGCTCATCCCGGCCACAAGCTACCTGCGCAACTGTATCAAGGTTTACGTTGAAGCATGTGAGCCCAGCAGCTTGGAAGCAATGTGCTGAACACGCCTTTCTTGGAGTTCGAGACAGCTCCATGCGCATTGCACCGACTCAGTTTGGGCCTGTTAAGCTCGCAAGGACTAGAATCTGCAAGAAATACACGCATGTCCGTGGTCAGGAGTTGCTGTCAAAGACGAGTGTTTGGTTTCCTTCTCGTATGGTCTCTCTTTCAATTGCCGCACCCCAATTTGCAAAGCAAATGGGATTTGCAGCGGTCCTCAAGCGTTGCTTTCCTCACTTTTGTTTTGTGGACCGCTGCCGGGTAGGTTGCCCTTGAATAGCTGCAAGCAAAGCTGGGCCGATCATGTTCTTTTCAAGCAAATAATGTCTCAAAGCTCAACGTAGATTTCCCCTACAATCCATGCGCTGGATCATTCATTTGGCGCTGTCAGACCAACGCCCTACATATCATTTCTTGCCTCTTGTACTTACCCCTTGGATTGGATTGTTGCTTTCTAGTTGGATGTATTCAAGCTTGATTTCGGAGCTTATCCAGTTTCAGGGCCAGTGGAAACCAATAGGATTGTCGCCTGCAAGGCAGGCAACCATCAGCTGCGGTGTGGGTCCGTCAGCTGAAAAGCATTGCCCGGGCCTTACTAGCTGTGTGCAGTCTTGCCTGCCCTGCGTTCATGTTCGAGAAAAGCTGTCAAAGGGTCGACTGAACCGGATTGCAGTGCTTGTGCGTTGCAAGGAGGAGCCTGAGATCATTGGCAGCGCGTTCAAAGTCACTGCTAGTGTTTCAGATGCCGACGCCTCAGCTGCGCCACTTTGCCCTCACTTTGTTTTGCCTTCGGAAATGCTGCTTCATGCTTCGCGGGGATGTCAGGTGGATGACTTGAAGAAGGCCCCGCGCTTGAAAGGGCTCAAGCCGAATTTCGCTCATCCTGTCTTGCGAGCTGTTTGCAGAAGGGTGATGACAAAGAGGGAGGCTTTGCTTGATTTCAACTCTGAGCGTTGCTTGAGGCTATCAAGCAGGAGAAGCCAAACCGAGTCATATGCGATGCTGATGAAATTGACATTTACAGCAAAGAGGAGAGCTTTGCATGTCCAATCGCACCCCCATTTGTTCCATGCCCCACACCTCACCCCTTGCCGTCTCTCAGCTAGACTTTGCAGGACGGCCGCTGGGTGAAAGAAGAGAAGATGTCAGCAAGTCTCCGTGAGACAGACGAGCCGAGCACTTGGTTCCGATGCCTTTCAACTTTGGGTTGTGCCGTTGCCCAACTGTCAGGGCAGACTGCTACGGATTCATGCTGCCAGCTGGAGCTGCTGGAGCCGCATAGTTTGAGGCACCTCAGCAGCGCAGCAGTGCTCTACACTTGTGAACTTGCATCGTTGTGGTCACTTGCTATTCTCGGCTGAGGCAATGCTGGGGCACAACGTTTCACCCCTGTGCAGTGACAAAAGGGTGCAGTCGCAGGCACAGTTGTTGCGTTGCAGTGCAACTTTGCTTGACTCTTGAAGCGTACGGGAGGTCAATGTTCACACTTTTGAACATCAGGCTGCGGTGTTCAAGACAAGCAGAAAATGTGCGTGCAATGGGTACAGGACCAGCAACGCGCTGGTCAACAGCTGTTTCACCGAGACATTCCTCCTTGTGCCTAAGTGCGCAGATGTAATACCGAACCATTTGAAGAGGTGCGGAGGAAATGATTGCGCTCGTGGCTTGCCAGTTTGTTTTTTTGAGGCAACTTGTGCACAATTGTTTGATGCTATTTGTTGAGCGTGGCGCTCAGAGAAGCTTGTTGAAGAGCAGACCCACACTGCACTGCTGCGAGGCGGCATTGCCTTGCAGGTGGCATTCTCGGCAAGCAACGTGAGAATTGCGCCTGTGCCCACTGACCCTGAAACTGGTAAGCTTCGAAATCAAATAGATCGTCCATCCGACTGGAAAGCAACAAGCACATCCCAAGGCCAAAGAACAAGAGCTTTTGCTCAAGGGCGCGTCAGCTTTCATCAAAAAGCGTTGCTCCAAGCTGGGCTCAAACGCTTCCATGTGAAGTTTGATACACTTGAAGCAACATCTGCAGCGACATGATATGAAACTAACGAAAATGGGCGGAAGCTGGCGGATCACGACCGTAAACTGACAACAACGGACGGATCACGACCTTAAACTGACGGATCGCAACCTGAAACTGACGAACACGGACGGAGGCTGACGCGGCTTAAGCTGTCGGACGGAAGCTGACGGATGATGGATCAATATTGACAAACGCAACCTCTCTCTTTAGAGGGGATTCTCCAAACGGGTTTTGATGCAGCTGAGGGGCTTCTGACACTTGCAAAAGTGTGGCAGAGAGCCCCGTGCCTGCACTTTCTCGATACCTCGATATGCGGAGCCAATTTGCCCCGTAGCTGTGTTTCTGCAACACAAGCGTGCCCTCAAAGGAAACCCTTGTTTTTGGAACCCTCTCTCTTTAGAGGGGATTCTCCAAACGGGTTTTGATGCAGCTGAGGGGCTTCTGACACTCGTCCATCCAGGAAACGACCTCGTTGTGCGAAGAAATCGAGAGCAACAGTGTGGCAGAGAGCCCCGCGCCTGCGCTGTATCGATACCTCGAAATGCGGAGCCAATTTGCCCCGTAGCTGCGTTTCTGCAAGGCAAGCGTGCCCTCACAGGAAACCTTTTTTTGGGCACCCTTTTTCTTGGAACCCTTTTTTTCTCGTTTTTTCCTTGTTTTTTCTTCGCTTGCCTTGCAGAAACGCAGCTACGGGGCAAATTCGCTCCGCATATCGAGGTATCGATATAGTGCAGGTACGGGACTCTCTGCCACGCTTTTGCTCTCGATTTCTTTGCAGGACGAGGTCGTTTCCTGGACGGACAGAGTGTCAGAAGCCCCTCAGCTGCATCAAAACCCGTTTGGAGAATCCCCTCTAAAGAGAGAGACACTGCGCTGCCAAGCAAGGCTGCAAAACTGCAGGCGTGGCAAGGTTGCAAAGTTGCAAGTGTTCCCAGAAGCTCAACAGACTTGGCAAACACTGAACGTTTTTCTCTGCTTGCAAGTTGCAAGGGTTGCAAGGTCCAGCCTCCACACAAATAAGCACAAAAACACACAAGCAAGCACACAAACACAAACACACATAAACACACACAAACACACACACACAAACGCACACAAATGCACACGAACACACACACACACAAACACACACAAACAGACACACAAACACAACACACAAACACACACACACACAACACACACCAACACACACACACACAAACACACACAAACACACAAACATAGACTTTCTTTGTCTTGCAGTGTTGAAGCTGAGTCAGGTTGGCAGTTTGTGTTTGTGTGTGTTTGTGTGTGTGTGCCGAGTTCCAGATCTACCCTGGAACCATTTCATAAGTCATAGCAGGGGGACGTGGCGTGCAATCAGGAACCACGTCCAACGAAGCTACCTGATTGCACGGGAAGCAGAGCCTGATCAGCTCTGTGTTCCTGCGAGTGATACAATGTCCTTTTGCCCCGCTGTTTCTCTCGCTGTAAGTGCTTCTTGTTGATTCTGTAGCGGTTTCGCTTCTGCCGGAAAGCCAAGTGTCTTGCAAGCCGAAAGTTGTGCTCGAAAGTTGTGCTCGAAAGTTGTACTCGAAGATAAGCAACCTCCTTCGGGAGTTTAGGCGTGTTTACCCCGTTTCGGGGGACCCTCGGATGCACCCATCGTGTGGCTCCGGGACGGCGTTGCCGTTTTATTTGACATTGGCGTCGATCACTAGACCAGCGGAATTTCACTTTAAGCAGAAACGAGGTTTCACTAAAGGGAAGATTGCGTCAACCACTTCCTACACCATTGCCACCGTTGACCATTGCCACCGTTGACCATTGCTACCGCTGACCATTGATATCGTTGACCGTTGCTTCCGTTTACCATTACTACCGTTGACCATTGTCATTTCTGTCTTGCATTCACATGCCTGTGCCATGGTTGTGAGTGGTTTGTGTCTCAAGCTTTGGGACTTTCGGAATCCTCGCCTTGCGCTTGAACATATGACCGTGAGCGTTCTCGTACTCGGCACCGCCGTGGGCGATCAGAATCGCCGCCTCGCAAAGCGCGCAGGCGTAATGATCGTGGTGAGGATCAACGCGAAGCAGAGTCTCAAGACTGGCTCAACCCCTCGATGTGGCAGGGTCCGAATGGCGCTGCTTCTGTTCCACCGTCGCCACCCATGCCTACAGCGCACAACCACTCGATGACCAACAACGCATCATGCACCAGCACCGTTCACTCCCACTCCTTGCCTTGCACCATACGCCCCCTGCGTCTGGACTTCCTCTTTCGCACGATCCTTGTCATCGTGCTCCTCACGCTCCACCTGCGCATCAGCCTATGCCAACATCGACTACATTCGCGAATTCCGCTGCGCCCAGTTCTTCAGCTGCACAGAGCACTCAACGCCTGCCTTCCGGCCCCATGGCAACAGGGCAACCACTTTGGCTCACACCTCCAGCGGAGTGGACTTCTGAAAAAGGGCTTCTGGATCGCAACCAGCTCTACTCCTTCACGCTACCAGTTTCAGTCGCCAATACTCCTCACACTCGTGAACGTGGAATGGCCGAGCTTGACATTTGTGACGTACGTTTAGTTCAAGCAATACATGGTGGCCTTTCAAATTGGTTGCTACGTCCTTTTTCTCACGGCCGCTTTGTGACCTGGGAAGGATTCCGTACCAGAACCGAAGCCCTTTTGTGGAGCAGCTCAACCTCTTACCCTCAAGAAGGACACTGCCAGCTCCCTGGGGCTCAACTTGGAGGACTTCAATCGCGCATCGAGATTCATGAGCATTTGGCCAACAACATCCTCGAGCACCTTGCGCAGCAGCACCAAGCCATTTCACCGCGGCCACCCAAAGCTGATGCAGTCGCGAATTGTCACTCACTCCAACGCCAAAATGAGCTTCTCAAAGCTGAACTTGCCGCAACACGCAAAGCTCACGATGCCTCTGCTACTACCACGCCGCCCACCATGCCCGTGGTGACCGCACCTTCCCCTTCCAG